GGTGGCTGGAACATCAAAGATGTAGTTGATTTAAAAGTTGAAGGCACGATTTTTCTCAGAGCCATATTAGCAGTAGATTTCCAATTATGAAAGAGTCTTATAAGCAATTCAGCCAGAACAAATAATACGCAGATTAAAAGTAACAAAAGTTCCAAACCGGAAATCACTTTCACTTCTTGCTGAAAAATATCAATCCATCAGTTCTTTCTTTTCTATTCTGCTGTCTGCAGGCACTGCCACGTCCACTATCCAGACTCTTTTGTCTTTCTTATCAACAATTGTTAAGTCCGGGGTGTTATGTTGCAGGTGCTTGTCTGTTTGAATTCTGAAGTCCCAGAGCAGTTTAACTTTATCATTTTCTATGACTTTCTCTGTTTTATGATCCCACCAGTTCTTGCTTACAGGCAAATTATATTTCTTGCAGATCTTCCAATGCACCATTGTTGCTACTTTGTCATGCCGTTGCTTGTAGTCAGTCTGTGCGATCTTCTTGCAGCAGCTTACCAGGTGGTCCACTGTTTCTTTAGCTTCTTTGCATAAGCGGCACTTACTGTCTGTTGCTATCTTCTCAATTTTGACTTTGTATGCATTTGTCCTTAAGGCTTGGTCTTGTGCAGCCAGAATTAGTCCCTCAGTTTCTTTGTTCAACTGTTGCTGTTGTTGTTGTTGTTATTGTTGTTGTTGTTGTTGTTATTATTATATGCATGAAATCCTTCAGTGCATATTGAGAAGAGGAAGGTCTCCCCATGAAATTTCTGTTTTTCTGATACTCCTAGGTTTCTTGCTAGCAATACCAGTCTATGTAGGGAACAGTGGTTCTCACAATATTAGAATGTGTCAACTGAGCTAGCTCATGCCAATTATGAGTTCTTGCTTTGCTTTTCCTATAAATATTAGTTTTCAATATATAATGATGATATATATATATATATATTATATATATAATAACATGACATATACTCATATCATATCACTGGAAACAGATTTTTTCCATTAATTTAATAATATTTATATGTCCTTATTGTCAAATGAAAATCTGAATATTTGTTGAAGAAATCATGTGACCACATTATCAAACACAGATATTTATTACAGTGTGACCTTATTCACTTTTAATAAAATAAATAAATATAATTAAGGTATGCATGATGACGATGTTGATGATATCCATTCAATCGTGTCTGACTCTTGGCGATTCTATGGGCCAAGTCTTGTACTACTTCTTTGAGTTTTTTTACATTCAGGCTGGTGTCAGCTTTGATGGTGTCCAGCCACCGCTGTTTCCTTAAAGTACACATAGACCTCCAGTTATATTACAAATTTAATGAAAGAAAAAAAATAAAGTTCT